CCGCCCTTGGTCAGGTCGTGAGCATCAACTCTGCCATCGTTGTTGCGGTCCAATGGGTTCTTAGTGTGAAGATCGCCGTGACGGGCGGAAGAGTGGTCGTGAGTGGTCTTGTGGTGAAGACCCTCAGCACCAGCAAGAGTGCTGACGCCACCAATGTTCTTGGGAACACCCTCGAACTCGTCGTAGCGCTCCTCACGACCAGTCAGGGATCCACCCTTGGCCTTGAATTGCTCCATGGTCATGGCGGGCAGAGCAGTAGTCTCATGGTGAGTGGCCTTGTTGTGGTGTACCTCGTGGATAGGAACAGTGGTGTGAACAACGCTGGGTTGGATGGTCTCCTTCTGGACTACGGGTTGGATGGTCTCATGGATGTGCTTGGGTGTGTTAGCTTTGGAGGCAAAAAGAATATGTCTTTGCTGTACTTACGTGGTGGACGTGCTCTCCGCCAACGGTGGGAGCAACGCTCTGGCTGTGGGTGGTGTCCTCAATGCGCCTCTCGTCGGCAAAGCGAGCCTGATCTTGGATGAGGGTCCTCTTGGTAGCATCAGTGTCACGGTGGTCGAACTCGCGGTGCTGGACTGCTCCGAGCTTGGCAGTGTGTGTCTCTGGGAGGACCTCGCGGTCGTGGATGGGCTGGACAGTGCGGTGGTAGTGATCTTGGTGGACCTCCTTGTCAATGGCAGTGTTGATCTCCTCATGTACATGGGGCTTGACAACCTCGTGGTGTACAGCAGGGGCAACTGCCTCGTGGACAGTGGTGTCGTGGTGGCCGGACCTGCCCATGAACTCGGTGATGGCTGCCTTTGCTTTGTCCATTTTGAAGTTGTAGTGGTGTGATTGTTTGTGGTAGAGGGGGTGAAATTGGTGTGTAGAAGAGTGGATTGATTTGTTGGAGTGTGGTGTGTTGTTGTAATGACGCTCCCTGAAGATGACACAGGGTGTTTTTATACATGGAGGGAGCCGGGAGGGAGAAAGCACAACGACGTAATTGACATCTCAGAGTCTGGTCAATCGGGAAGCAACAGCCCCCGCCATGTGTGCCACAGGGTAGACATGGCGCATCATAGGACAGCAATAGTGGGATGATGGTAATGGTCTGGTTCCCCATCCACGACTCCAGCGGCGCCAATTGGGCCATGCACGGCGGACGCTACCAGCAGCTGATGGCGTTCGCTCTCCGCGGCGTCTGGCACTAGGAGACGCTTGGGGCTGTTCGTTGTACGCCTACCGAAGAGCTACGCGGTACGATGTAGTCATACTGCGTATCTCCGCTGCATACAAACAGGAATTTGGTCTCACGCTCAGGTTGCTCGTATCGCACTCACGGTTGTCTCTGGTTGAGGTGGTGCATGTGCAAGCAGCAGCAGATGAATGATTACATGTTTGGATGGATGAATGCAGCAAGCGTGCGATCTGATCGATCGACGCTAGGATGACCCGCCGCCCCTTGTCGAGCAGGGGATTCGTGCAACATCCAAGCGACAACTCCCCACGACGTATTCAAGCATACGCGCCTCCGCCGCCGCCTGTTGCAAACTGCGTCATGATGCCATTTCTTTGTTGAGCTACCCGCCCAAGACCGCCTGTCCCTGTACGCATACGGCTGTCTCTGCGCCTGTTTCGGAAGTCCCGGGGGCGTGGCTCCAACTGCTAAGCCCATGGCTAAGATGATCGCCCTCTGTGCCGTGCTGATCAACTGCAACTGGGGGAGAGAGCCGCCCACGACCACACTTACCGTCGTTGTCGTCATGCCGCCATGATCTCCACCATGACATGCCCCTTCTGCAATTATAGTTCCATCTGTTGGGTCTGTGCAAGCACCGTGTATGGATCCATCTGTCCATCTACACCGCGGAAGCAGCCATCACTTGTAGAATAGAGACACGTACCTCTACAAAAGAGGCTGCCTACGTCATTTGTAGACGCCACTCTATGCTATCTCTCACCCAGGTTAATCGGCGAGGACAAAGTGAGCCCCATCGAAGATGCAAATCTGGCTCGACATGGCAAACTGCAACAAAAGGGGTGGGTGATTGACATTTCCCATTCGAGCCAGCAAAGCCTTTGCCTGTCGTATGCTTTCCGACTATCGCTATCGTTGCTGTAGGTGTAGAGAGCGGCCTTCTAAAGCGCTGCTGTGTGCTGAGTTGTGCAGTGCTTTGAACCTTCGGCAGGCGTGATGGATACGTCATTCAGCCACATTCCAGCCACTGCCACATGAAGAAATAGCCATACAAGGCCTAGAATCTGCCACCCCACTGTCACCAGCACATGTTCAGTCCATCTAGCCAACTACACACATCGCTTCCACTTCACCTTGCAGTCAACATGAAGGAAAAGATCAAGGCCGTACTCCATAGAAGGAAGGGCTCAACACCAACGCAATCGCCCCGTGCCTCATATGAGCAGTCTGAAGGGGCTAGTCCACGTGCTGAACAGCTTCCTAGCTCTCCCCGTCACAGCCATCGACGGAAATCTTCAGCTTCTCAGAGCGCCTCTCCTCGAGCAGAATATGCTCAACACCCCAAGACCACTCATACAAACGGCGTAGCTACTCACTCAGCTACCCTACCGCTTGAATCTGTGCATAATACCCAGTCTGACAACACCAACCTCGTCAAGTCTGCCTCTGATGAAAACAAACTCATTCCCCCTGCACTTGCTCCCAGCAAACAGTCGATAGTGGCAGGTACCAATACCGGCCACTCAGTATCGCCTCACAGTGATCTATCAAAGCCCCTCCCACCAACACCAAGTATGCTCAATGCTGTGGAAATACTATAACAGATAAGAGAACTAACTTTGTGTGCAGGTTCCACCAGCTACAAACACGGCGATGCTCGAGACAAACTGGTCGGCAGGGCCGTCACCACCAATGGCAGCATTGTAGGGGGAGCGCAACAGCAAGATCCAGAAGACCTTGCACGGCCATCGCAGAGCTTGGGAAGACAACACCACATCCACCAGGATATGGCTGTCAAGCCTGCGGGGTTCGATTCTACGAGCGATAAGCACGGTGTGTACGGCAATGATGAGGAGTGGCAGGTCAAGCAGAAATCGATGCTCAATGGCATCGTTGATTTAAACGACACAGTTGAAACAGACAGAGAGACATCGTGGGCACCTGGTAAGTCAGACTTGTCTTGCCGTTGGGCAACGCCCCCAAACACAATATACACCAGGTCATCTGACAAAAACTACAACAGCGGTCACACATGAGGTTGTCAAGCCATACGAGCATGAGATTGTCCAGCACAAAATCTATCGAGAGATTCACAACTATACCTACTACCACCGACTGCAGCCTGTGATGCAGACTGAGGTTCTCCCACCTCGTCACTTTATCCCCAATCCCGACGGAGAGGGCCTGATTGAGATTTCTGCTGATGAGTTGCCCTCTCGTACAGGCAAAAACAGGTGGTGGGATATTGTGCAAAAGGAACCCGTGCTTCCAGAAGCTCCATTCCAATGGCGCACCGAGCCGCAAGTCATCGAGGGAAAACCATACATGACAGACGAGGGCTTCGAGCGCAGAGAAACCACCATTATATACCCACCGACGCTGGAAGATATGTCGAGTTACGACGGAATAGTACAGCCAGTTCACTTCGACCACAAGACTGGTAAGCGCTGGCTGGGAGAGCAGACGACCATCGACAAACTGCAGCGACAAGTGGACGGTACAAGCGAAGATGATTTTATGACGATGAAGAACATCACGGCCGACTTGCCTGAAATACCCAACAGCCCGTCGGTCAAGCGAAGGCCCGTTGGCAGAGACTCGCTATAGCGGGCAGTGGGTAAATGAAAAGTTGAGTTGAGCTGTGAGACGAGGTGCAGGCTGTTGTAATTCTGTCGATTGAGAGGCTGTAATTTCTATTTGTATAGTATTTAGCTTGGTACTCGTCCCAGGTGGATGCTGAAGACAAGTGTATATTGCAAACGGCTGGTTCCTTGTTTGGACTGATTGAGATGTGGAAGTTTTGCGCAGCGTCTCTGTGTGGCCAAAGTAAATGCACGGCAATTATGGCGGTTTAGTGCTCGCCGGAGCCATGGTCTTGGGTGTGCATGAACAGGAAATCTGCGCCAAATCTGAGCAAAAACGTGGGGTGCGTTATTTGTACGGACCAAACACCGGTCAACTGGCGACGATCCCCATGTCAGTTTGTGGGGGCAGAAAACAGCTCTTAGTACATCTCGAGGCTGACAAGCCGACACTAGAGCGTTATCTCGAGGCGCTCTTTTGTCTGATGGCAGACCCGCTCTCATGGCGCCATTCTTCGTATGCTTCGGTAAAGCAGTCAAGTATGCCGAGTGCCGGGCTCGAGAGTGGCCTCCACCTGCGTTCAGGCGTGAAGGCAAAGTGCAGATAAGCCTTGGAGAGACGGTGGAGCACAGTAAGATGGGAAGTAAGCCTAGAATCCAATTGCTCAGCCCAGTGATGCCAAGTTGGCTTTAACCACTAGGATTGAATTGCTCGGACAGCTATTGGAGAAGCTTTGTTAGCCAAGATGCACATGAGGGGCAGAGTAGTTGTGGTTCTAGAGGCTGGCGCAAGTATATCGGGGAGACCGATAGGAAACAAGACACGGCAAGAGGGTGACATTGCACCATACTGCCCAAGGGAAAAGCCGTGTCGAGCTCCTCCGTCTTGCGCGCCGGTGCTTCTCCGCATTCTCCGACTAGGCAAGTACACTCGGCTCCATACCCACACCCCTGCCCACAAACAGCAGTTATCGCATCTTCTCCACCCACAAACAGGGCACACGACACCAGACACGGGATGCGTGATCCCATCCACACCTGAGCCTTTGTGCGTCTGCCAGAGGGCTGTGTGAGTTGGAAAAAAAGCCTGCGCCAGCCTTGCTGCGGCAGCCACCACCACCACCGAGCTCAATGGCGATTCGTTCCTTTGCTGCCCCCAAGCTGGGAGACAGACGTATACCTGTGGACGCCCAGGAGAGCCAAGAATTACTAGTGCAATCCGTTGCCTTCACCGCGGTGGAACACATGCAGGGTTGCCTGCTCACGCTAGGATTGCTGAAAGATTTATTAGCACGGCACATGTACTTGTATGGTTCGCTCCCCGTTCATCGTCTCTTGACCCTCGCCAGCCTAGCAGTCTGTCCACCAACCGACACCTACCCCGACTAACGGTCCATGGACTTTGTCGTGCAATTTTTCGCCCTACTCCTCAAAACTATACTCTGAGAGCCCGAGGTCAAGTCTTCGGCTTCCAGCAGATATGACTTCTACCGGCAGGGACTTTGAGCCTGGCGCTTCGTACGAGCCGAAGAAGCAGGGCTACCATGTCGATGAAGAGAACACCAACTACCATCATCGCCCCAGTAGCGTGGAATCAGTGAGAGCCGTTAGCGACAATACCCATCGCAGGCTCAAAAGCAGACACATTCAACTCATAGGCATCGGTGGAACCATTGGCACTGCCCTCTATGTCCAAATTGGTCGCGGCCTCATGAATGGAGGGCCTGCGTCCTTGTTCATCGCATTTTCGTTGTGGTGAGTTCCGCGCAAGATTCCTCGCGCAGCTGCCCAATGGTACGCTCTAGCTACAATCCGATCCAGAGCTGACTCTGAACAGGTGTACCGTCATTTTGGCTGTGACGCTTAGTGAGACTCTCAACTCCCCAATTCCAAATAACCTGTGCCCATTGCGACAATGCCCAAGCGCTTTTCGACCCGCCCAGAGCTACTTACCCCATCGCTTGTACCGTCGTGAAGAGCCCCCCCAGCTAATGCGCCTCAATAGGCATTGCCGAAATGGTTACTTACCTCCCAATATCTTCGCCCTTCATTCGCTTCGCTGGACGCTACGTGGACGACGCCTTTGGCTTCGCAGCTGGATGGAATTTCTTCGTCTTCGAAGCAGCCCTCGTGCCCTTTGAAATTGTGGCTTGTAACGTCATTATCGGCTTTTGGAGCGACGCCGTGCCCACTGGTGCCATTATCGCAATCGTTCTTGTGCTCTATGCGTACGTAGATCCATGTACCACCCGATATTCGACATGGGACACCGTGGAGCCTTTTGTGCTAGACTGTGAACCGCAGGCCATACACATTCCTTTGTGTTTTTTGGTCAATCATTCCCAGGCTATACGCTAGGTCTCAAGTCACATCAAACAAGCCCATCCGCTCTAGGATACCCCATGAAATTCGTTATAGAACCAGGGCTAACCAAGCACTAGTGTCATCAACATGATGGCTGTAAAATGGTACGGAGAAACCGAGTTCTACGCTGCAGTTGGAAAAGGTGAGCATTTCTCAAAGAAATAGTCAGAACAATTTGCTAATCCCAAAAGTCCTACTCATCATCGGTCTCCTCATTTTCACCTTCATCTCCATGTTGGGCGGTAACCCGCAAAAAGACCGCTACGGCTTCCGCTACTGGAAGAACCCAGGAAGTTTCACAGAGCTCTACTACGGCGGCGATCTAGGCAGATTCCTCGGTTTCCTCCAATGCCTAATCCAAGCCTCCTTCACTATCGCAGGACCCGACTACGTCTCCATGGCCGCCGGCGAAACCGAAAACCCCCGCAAAGTCATGCCGCGCGCCTACAACGCCGTCTTCTACCGTCTAACCACTTTCTTCGTGCTCGGCTCCCTCGCCGTAGGCATAAACGTGCCGTACAACGACCCGGAACTCATCAACGCCTTCAAATTGGGCAAACCTGGTGCCGCAGCCTCGCCCTACGTCATCGCCATGAACAGACTCCGCATCGAAGGCCTCCCCCACGTTGTCAACGCCGGTGTCCTCGCCTCCGCCTTTTCCGCAGGAAACTCCTACGTCTACTGCGCCTCGCGCTCCCTCTTTGGTCTCGCACTCGAAGGCAAAGCACCCAAGATTCTGACCAAATGCACAAAGCAAGGTGTACCCTTCTACTGCGTCTTGATCGTTCTCCTTATCTCACTGCTTTCGTTCCTTCAGCTGAGTGAGAACTCGGCTGTTGTACTGAACTGGTTCGTTAGCTTGGTCACGGCGTCCCAGCTTATCAATTTCAGTGTCATGTGCTTTACGTTCCTGCGCTTCTACAAGGCGTGCCATGTACAAGGGCTCGATCGCGATACGCTGCCGTACAAGGGTATTCTACAGCCGTATGCGGCGTGGTATGGTCTTGTGTGCACGTTTATCATGACGTTTGTGGGCGGTTATACGGTGTTTTTGAAGGGCATGTGGGATGTGCCTTCGTTCTTGTTTTCGTACCTGATGTAAGTTCTCTTTCTGCTATAATTGAAAATCGCTAATAAGTCCAAAGGGTCTTTATCTTCCCCGTTCTCGTCATCGGATGGAAGATCCTCAAGAAGACGAAGTGGGTTACGTCCGACAAGGCGGATCTTATCTCAGGAGTAGCGGAGATTGAGGAGTATCATCGTAATTTTGTGGAGAAGCCAGAGACGAACCCGTTCAATCGCTTCTTGGACAAGATTTTTGGATAAGTGTGGATGTGTGGAAGATTTGGCTGGGGGGAAAGAAAATGGTTGTGCTGTTGTTTTTTTTTGTAAAGAAAAAAACCCTTTGTTCACTCTTTTAGACAGGGCACCATGCTCGCATGTAGATGATGAGTTAAGAATCCGACTATACCGTCTAGTTAGATTTACAAGGGAACAACGTTGGAAATAATGGATTTTTACAACTATATATCCTTGTTCACCTGATCCCATTTACTTTACCAAGCTCTTCCATCACAAACAAACATGCAAAATCGCCAACAAACCCTAAGCCCTCAAAACAAAAACGTTGGAATATCATCCACATCCCCTGTCCTCCTCTTCTTCCCCTCCTGACCCTCCATTTCCTTCCTCTCCCGCTCAACCTTACGCTTCACCAACCTCTCCACAACATCTCTACCCCCAGCACCGCCCTCATGTCTCACATGCTGCGCCCCCATTTCCGCCGCTGAACTCGCTGATCGCGTATGCAGGCCATGTTTCACTGTTTCGGTGGAATCAAAGGAGTGAGAGGGTTTGCTTGTAGTTGGTTTGGGAGACGGAATGGGTGGGGGTTGCGATTTGGGGGGTGTCCAGTCGTCGAGCATGTCGAAGGGTTTTGCGAGGCGGGGGGGTCTTGAGCGGGATTTTGCTGGGGGTGGGGGCAGGGCGGGTTTGGTGAAGGTAGGGGGTGAAGATTTGGTAGTGAGATTGAGAGACGAGGCACCGATCAGTCGACTTGGGGTGCTGCTTATTTTTGATGGGGCCGATTTGGTGGCTTTGAGGGGTGGCTTTGCTGGGGGCCGTAGAGTATCGAGATCTTCGCTATCGCTGTCTGATGTTGTGCGTGCCACTGATTGCTGCTTTGCTGAGGTTCCTAGAGTTCTTTTGGAGGCGGCATATGATGGTGTTGTTGTTGGAACCCGTGACGTGTGGGTTGAAAGCGAAGCCCGTTGTTCTTCTGCCCCATCGTCGTCTTGAGACGCAAAAACGGCTTGAAGAGCTCTCTTTTGCTTCTGCTCTTGAGCTTTGGCTCTATCTTTCATGACCCCAACATCAGACATCTTCGCGTTGGGAACTACTGGCCTCGCTACATCAGCACCTTCTTTCTTTTCCTCAATCGTCTCCTTGAGTTTCTCGTATTCTGCAATGTGCAAGTGTCGAGTGAATAGCTTTGCCGTCTGGAGAAATTCGTCTTCAACCATCATCCATTCATCGTCGCGTAGGTCGAATTTGGAGATTGCGCCGTGCATATATTCAACACGTGGTTGCTCGAGATCTCCCGCTAGAGGTGGAGGTGATGACGAAACTTCACGTCCCTTTCTCCATGCATCTTTTGTTCTGGATTTGGTGTGTGGTGTTGACGGTTCTGCTGGTAGATTGGGGAGATCATCATCTGACTCGCTGGCTTGTTGATTTCCTTTACTACTGCTGGCCGCTATCACGTCTTCCAAGAACTCATCGTCATTATCAGATATGCGCGGTACAAGGTCTGCATATGGGGTTGTTTTCTTTGCTCCTGCTGTGTCTTTCTTCGCCCATGGAAGTCGACGCGGCATGGTGCTGGTGTAGGCGGCGGATCAGCTGGATATTGGCAAAAGGTATGGGTTTATGTTGATCGATGTAGTTGAACGCGACATTGTGGGAGTCTCTACCCGGAAAAGCAGCACCAGATCAATGCCTTTGGGGAAGTACTTCACTCTGTGAGTGCTTCAAGCCCTTTGCGCGCATACGGGCGAAGGTGAATGGCTTGCTCCCACCTGGCCACGTGCTATGACGCGTTTCCGATTTCCGCTAGACCCACTCTCGCCTGTGCGCCCTTCCAATCTAGCTGCTGGCACTTCTTGTACTTGTGCTCTGCGCCCTCAAATTAACACGTTGCACTTCCACCCAGTTCTACCACAATCGATGTTTGCCTAGACAGCGTGTACTCATGGAGGTTTTGCGTGCTCAGCTGCTGGCACCGAGTTGGTATAAGCTCGACGCTACAGCTTCACAGCACAACGCATAGCTGCGAGCGTGACTACCTCACAATTGCATTTACCCCCTTTCGTCTAGGAATCGTTGAATGATTCAAAGCTAGTTATCAGCGCCTAGGCTCCTGCCCAGCAGCATCTAGGCTGCGTTACCGTTGTTGACTCCAAACTACTGCCGTTTCCATCTGCCATGTCCATGTTCCGAAGGCCAGGCGACTCATCGTCCAGCTCGGAGTCGTCTGATGAAGAAAGCGAATATGAAGAAGAGAATCAGCTGAAGCAGGACAGCGTCCTGTCAAGGATCAACACTCTAGATTCCGCTTCCTCAGGACAGCCCATCCAACCCCATCGACCCCCTCTAGATCCACGACAAAGCTCAACCCAGAACGTTCGCGATCTTTTGTTACATTCGTTGTTGGAGGAACGAACCATTCGCGAGGTTGCAGCCCAGCTAGGCAAAGACCCGTCGGACCCTGAAGTCCAGCGATTGGGTAGAGCCTCCTACAAAGAAATTGCCCGCCAGATTTCCAACAACGTCGACGATGCTTACGCAAGCGATGAAATGCAAAGCCATCGGACCACGGCAAACGAAGGAATCAATCGGCTTACCCGAAGCAATCTAAACAAGCTCTCTGTCATCCCCGAACTAGCTTCACAAGCTCTGGTTGCACTACCAGGTAATGGGCTGCCCCAGCATCTACCTCAACAACCATCCCTAGGTTTCGATGTTCTCTCTGGCATATCAGGTCCAGTTCAATTTCAACTTCGGGGCTATCCTCATCTGCAGACTGATCGATATATTCGGGAGTTTTCCGAGTTGGAGATTGTTGGTAAAGGAGGATATGGCAAAGTTTTCAAAGCCAAACATAAACTCGATGGGTCATTCTATGCAGTCAAGAGGATTCCAGTGAGCCCTGCAAAGGTTGCAAGAATACAAGAGCATGGACCAGAAGAGTTGGAAAGCATGCTTGAAGAAGTTCGTTCGCTCGCTCGATTTGATCACAACAACATCATTCGGTACCATAACGCCTGGCTCGAGTTTACTACATCACCCACTGAAACCACCGGCGTCCCAGACATCCCGATGCTTCGAGACGACCGTCTTTTAGAGGACCGAGCTGCCTTTCCATCCTTCTCTGGAGGAACCAACGACATTCATTCTAGGCTGGATAGCCTAAGCTTCGATGACTCTCCCATTAAAACTGAGAACAGCAACAGCGCTGGTATTGTCTTTGAGTTTAGCGAGCCCAGAGAAGGAACACCTGAGCCTCAGAGTGAAGGTGCCAATATTTCTATTAAGGAAACCTTTACACGGACCAAACGCAAAACCCGACGTGGCAGCCAGGCGAGTCAGATGACGATAGCAACAATCTCATCAACAAAGTCTCGGATGAGCGCTGTTGAGGACGCAGACGAAGAGGAAGATGATGATATTGAGAACATTCCCAGATCGCACATGCCGTGCACCCACGAAACAATTTCCGAAATGTCAGACAGCATGATTTCGAACAGCGACGTGCCCCACCACCTTATGCAGAACCGAACTCTCGGACCAATTCTCATGCTCAACGTACAAATGAGCCTCTGCGAAACCAACCTAGCTTCATTCCTCTCGTCCGACCAGTCCGGGTCCATTGGGCAGAAAACAGGCCAACATTGTTTCCATTCCTGCGTATCACTCGAGCTACTCAACAACATCGTGGCAGGAGTAGAATACCTACATGCTCAGGGCGTCGTCCACCGCGACCTCAAACCCGCAAACGTCTTCCTCTCACTTTCCACTGCGCGTCACCCACCATACGGTTCCATCGACATGTCAAGCTGCAAACCGTGTCCCCAGCGCGATCACCTGCATATGACACCCCGCATCGGCGACTTTGGCCTGGTAGCCGCCTTGAGCGGGAGTTGCACGGTTTCCGATACATCTTCGAAGCCAGTAGGCACCGAGTTCTATCGACCGTCAGCGAGTAGCGGTGTCAACGAGAAACTCGATGTCTTCGCGCTGGGTGTGGTGGCGTTTGAGATGCTGCACAAGTTTAGCACGAGGATGGAACGTATAGCTGCCTTGACGGAGTTACGTCGAGGTCTTTTCCCCGGAGATTTTGTGCAAAATCATGGGGATGTTGGTGAGGATGTTCAGACTTTGATCAGTGGTATGATAAATGGGGACGAAGAACAGCGTTTGAGCTGTGATGAAGTTAAAGAGCAGATTAGGAAGTTGTTGCAGCGATTAAAGGGTTAACTTTTTTATTTATTTGATTTGTATGCACAGCGCTGGTTTCACAGCATCGAGAAGCGTAGATACCCTAGTAGAATAGTAGTAGTATAAACATATGTTCAGCGTTGCAATTCGTGTGTGTGTGTGTGTGTGTGTGGACGAAATGGGATTTGCGCTCCCATCATTTCTCAAAACTATTCAAGTTTATTTTATCTTGTATTATCCATGTACCTCACCATATGCCTTATCTATGTTCATGTATATACATACCTATTATCCAGACGCCCCCATGTCGAGTTTTCCAAACTCGTACGCTAATTCTATCATTTACAGTTTGATTACCAGAAGTCAAGTGAGAAGAAGAAGGTAAGCCAGGACAGCCGGTGTCCTTTTCAAAAAAAAAGAATGCGCCCAAATGAAATCATGGTAATAATAACCCAAACGCCTCATGCATTTCCTCATATCCTCCTCTGCATCCAATCGTGTACAACATCAAACAGCTGACCCAGCTTAACCCCGTCGTCATGACCCTTGACGTTAAGCACCTTGACAGCACCCCTCTTTTGGCCGCCATCGCGCAGTGTCAGCTCCGTCAACGGGGGCATTGAAACCAGCATATCCCTCCAAGACCCGTGCGTATTGCCGGCAACACCCTCGCGCGTAATCCAGTGGTTGAAATCCATGATCAGAGGATGAAACACGATTTCCTGACTCGTCCGGATGAGACCTATACAGCGTCTCGAGAGGGAGATCTCGTTGCGGACGCCTTTTGAAATGCGAGTGCCAAGCGGCTGGGCTCCTGACTCGACGCTTTGTGGCGTGACGTGGACCTCGAATTCAAACGTCGTCGGGACGAGGTTGTAGATTTGCAGGCTGCGCGAGGGCTTGAGGTACAGCATTTCTGCCAGCAATGGTGAGTCGCCTGGGACCAGAGCGCGCCATGACTTGGAGACGCGCTGGCATCGGACGAGCTCCCAGAACTCGAGGTAGAAGAATATGTGCTGCAGGACTTCGGCGGGGAGGTCGCTGATGCCGCGTTTGTGGGGGTGCGTGTGGTGTGAGGATGGGTGGAAGAGTTGGCGCATGCGATCGGCGTAGTTGCCCACGCTGCTCCTACGGATATCTCGCGAAGGATCGGAATCGCCGCGAGATCGCGTGAACATTGCTATGGGGTCTGAGGGCAGGCCAGTCATGGAGGGGTTGCGAACAGAATGCCCCGAGGCATTCGGCTTACGCCGGCCTGTAGTCGTGTCTTTGAGCATATCGGAGAAGCGACTGAAGGCTGAAATGTGGGACTGGTGCTGCAGGTCCATCATGATTGCTTGGTTGGCGCTTGCTTTGGCCCGTCCAAATCGTTCGGGTTCAAATGATGGTGCTTCGGGATGTTGTGTCGTTCAAAGGGCTAGTCTTACAAGGCAGCCAAGCCACGAAATGTCGTCACTGGTACCGCTCTCGGGATGCTGGTGGGGATGCGCCGGTTTGTGCGACGAGCTTTGTTTGCGTATAGAGAACGGGATGTTTCTGCGCCTACGGGTAGTCGACGCGTACCAAAAAGAGAGTGTTTACTGTATCGAAGTCGGTGTATATGGAAGCTTTCAGAAAACAATCATTGACGTGGATGCAGCTGACATGGCATATACACTAGCCCAAAGGGGCTGATGCGCTGCGGACTGCATGGGGATGCCGGAAAAGCAAAGTCGGGTCACTTTGGAGACCAGCATGTTTGCTTGGTTTTCTGTGATGCATGACACAAAGTGAGGTTGACGCTTTGTTCTTCTGCTACGCTACCAGGGTAACGTGCCACTTATTTTGCCGATGTTGTCCATTGAAAACACACCAACGTTCCGTCTTCGCGTATGTTACAAGATTAATTCCGTCGGGGTGATATGCTATGGTTCTACTGATTTACACGTGTCTGATTATATCAGCTCGAGACTAAGGCCATAGCGAATGCCTTGTGCTGGTAACAAGGATGGCTTGGCTTGGTCGAGCAATTGTCGAGCGACGTAAAAAGCCTGCCCAGCTTGAAACTAACTTCATGTCGGACTTTTGGAACATCTTGCTGTGTCCATGCCTAGTCTGGTTTCCAGACGCATGGTCTTGTTGCTGGTATGAAGTCGTTGAGAGATCATCCCCACCCAAGGTGTTGGTGGGGCGTTTTTGTGCGCAATGTTCACTCGACTCTCTTCAGCCAACTTCAATGGCTGCCAATGCGCCAATGACCTCTTCAGCAACCCCGCCATTCTCTACTACCATCTTGGTCACCTGCGCAATCAAACTTCTCTTCATGCCGCCCCGAGGTGGTGTCCATACGCCTGATGTCGCCAGCAGCTCGCGCTGCGTAAGGGCGTCGGCAGTCGACGTGGGAGCAGTACCGCCAGTGGCAGTGTTCATCGAGTTGGGCACACCTGGTGGTGTAAGATGGGAAGGAGGGTCAATGGTGCGTATCGAGACGATGCGCGCACCCGTAGCGGAGTTTGTCGAATTTGTGCATGCAACGGCAAGGACAGCGTCTGCGACTGCTAGCTCCTCCGGGGCCGGGTCGAAGATGATGTTTGCGCCAACGGCCATGGCTAGTACGATGACGGGTGGCTTCCCTAGTTGAGGCGAAGTCTTGTTTGTTCCTGCCTGCTTGGGGTACAGGGGAACGGCTGCGTCCCAGTCGTCGTCAAAGAGCGGATCCTCGTCCTTTTCCGACTTGAGCGCGGGGAGGCGTGTGGTAAGAAGGGCAAGGTGGGAGGTCATGGAAAGCATGGCAAGCGGGTAGGAGAGGGGCGGCGAGAGCATGAGGATCTGGCATGTGTCAGAGGGAAAGTTTGTGGTGGGGTCATGGGGTGTGTATGGCTCCTTACGTCGATGTAGAGCTTCCAGTGAAAGCGCCTGTTGATGTAGAGCCGGTCTTTGAGCTCGCCACTCGCAAGCAGGCTCTCAGAGAGCATTGAAGCGAGGAACACGGGCAGGGCATCGTCCTCTCGGAAGCCCGGTATCTCGACGGTTATGTCGACCCACGCATTCTGGCCCTTGGCCGTGTTCTCGTCGGCGCCGTCGCCCATGTCTACATCTTCTGGCTCGCCCAGGGTCGGCAGCTGGCTCGTCTTTTCCACCTCGGCCTTGACGCCGACAAGGGCCTCTGTGCCGTCCTCGAGGGCAATGCGCGCACTTCCGTTTGCAGTGGGCAAGACGTCATACTCTGCGCGCATGGAGCGAAAGTCGCTGGGCCCTTTGGTGACATCGCGGCGGATGGGGGGCGTCTGTGTCAGGGCCCTGCGCAAAAAGAACAGCTCTACGGGGGAGAAGCTGACGAGGGCGTGCTGGGGCGCCATGGGGGGCGGGTGGTGGTGGGCGACGTGGAGTTTGCTGGTTGCTCTGCTGGGAGGGTATTTCTTTGCACTGGAATTGCGAATTGCTGCCACCTCCCGGTCCCACGGCTAGCGGCCCCGGTCGTTTGGCTGCAGCGTCACTCCCTGGGCGGTATGGCGTGCAAGCTACCTCGCGCGACAACACCAACGTGCAGTCCAAGTGCCGCCGACTGACCGCTGGTCTCGCGGAACACGGCCGGCTGCCCTTTGTGCACTATCTATACCTTTGCCAGAGGCCCCCAACAAAGGGCGCTCGCCATATATTCCCGCCGGGGCGAGGCCATGCCACTGCGATCCACGCCATACGCTACCCCGTCACACGTACCGCGCGTCCCCCATGTCACCCCCGACCTCCAAGCGGCATAGCGGTAATGGCATCACCACCATCGACAAGCTCGACTATCCTTCAAACCCCGCGCGTCGCCCTCTCCTAGCCCCCGACAGCGACACCGAGTCACAACGACGCAGCCAGGGCACCAGCTACGCCGGTAGTTTCTTTGAACAGGTTGCCGAGGGCATCTACGAACAAGACCGCGTCAAGATGCAGCGCGCCGTACTTCGCTGGCTCAGCTTTGTCTGGGCCATCGTCATCTGCCTCTGCGCCGGCAGCATCACCGCCTTCTCTCTCTATGGACATTTGTTCCAGTCCAAGCTGCATTACACCCAAGTTCAGGTCAACGCCGTCTCCATTGGGGCCGAGCTCGGCCTGTACCTCCTCGTCCCCATCTTTGGATACCTCTGCGATCGTCTGGGCCCTGGTGTTCCCGCCGGTCTCGCGGGTGTCCTCTTTGGCGCTGGCTACTTTCTGGCTGCATTTGCATACCGGAGCGGCCCGCCGCCTGCAGCTGGCGGTCATGGATGGCCCTTTGGTGTCATGATCCTGGCTTTTGCCTTTGTCGGCATGGGCACGAGTTGCATGTACCTATCTGCCGTCACGACATGCGCAAAGAACTTTGGCCGTGGTAATAGCAAAGGTGTGGCTTTGGCGGTACCCATTGCCTCATTTGGACTGAGCGGCATGTGGCAAAGCCAGGTTGGAAGCCGCTTGTTGTACGAGAAGAACGCCGATGGAACCAGGGGAGATGTCGACGTCTTCCGCTTCTTCCTTTTCTTGGGCATCCTGCTCCTTTGTGTCGGAACTGTCGGCTTCTTCGCTCTACGCATCGTCGACGAGGAAGAGATGATCGACGAGGCTGTTGACGAGCTCGAGAGATCGGGTCTTCTACAGCGTGATGGCTTCTTTCACCAAGCTGCACAGCACCATGGCTACGGCACCATGGAAACGCAGGACCTGTCTGACTCGACCTTTGACTTCCTACAGTCTGAAGCCGAGCGTCTGAAAGCAAAGGCAGAAGAGGAGGCCCGCAAGAAGACGTGGCTTCTAAACGAAGAAACGCGTCTTTTCATCATGGACCCGACCATGTGGTGGCTGGCAGCTGGCTTCTTCCTCGTGACTGGACCCGGTGAGGCCTTCATCAACAACCTAGGCACCATTATCGAGACACTCACACCTGCTAACGTCGCAACCAATACCTCACCAGCCACCCACGTGTCGATTGTCGCCATTACCTCGACCCTCGCTCGCTTGGCTACCGGCACACTCTCTGACATCCTTGCTCCTGTCGCACAGTCGCACCAGCATCGCCGCAACCCAGAGTCAGTCGCAAACTCTGTGTCGTCCCTGCCGCCTCCTGAGCAGCCCCGAAAGTTCACCGTGTCTCGCATTACTTTCCTTGTAGCATTCGCTTTCCTCCTCTCCCTCGGACAGCTCCTGCTTGCAACTGGTTGGGTCCAGAACCACGCCTCTCGCTTCGCGGTTGTTTCCGCCCTCATCGGTGCGGGCTATGGCGCCGTGTTTTCCCTCACTCCCATTGTTGTCTCTGTCGTCTGGGGCGTCGAGAACTTTGGAACTAATTGGGGCATTCTGGCCATGACGCCTGCTGCAGGCGCGACCCTCTGGGGCGCCGTATACGCTACCGTGTACCAGAAAGCCGCAAACAGTGCCGAGGCTGGTGTTGAAAAAGACCCAGAAGACGTTCTTTGCCATGGCAAGGCATGCTATGCGCCCACCTTCTGGGCCATGACTATTAGTGTTTGGTTCGCTATGGGCCTTTTCCTCTGGGCATGGAGAGGCCCTGGTGGTTGGAAGCGAAAGGGCATTGCTGTATAACACCCTAGACACATCTCATTTTCCTTATCCATTGCCTGTTTGTCTGTTTATTGTTTTTATGCATGGCGAAGGGAGTTTTTTGTCTCTGTCATTGTGCTTCATTGGGTTTCTCGCGTCATTGCTCCTACGTGATTTTATCTTGTCGATGTGCATTGTATCCATCTGGTCTGGCCTGATCTGGTCTTTTGGTTAAACCCCTCATTTGATAGTTTTGCATTGAAATTTTCAGCATGTTGAAGAATTACGATACACAGCGTGTATGAGAATCTGAGTGTGTGTATGTAATGTTGGCAGCCACGCAAGATAAAGTGGGTAAAGAGGGGAGGGAGAGGGGGAAAGATAAGCCCTCAAACCCGTCGTCCCAAGCACCGCGCCCCCGCAATCCAGTTTCCCCACTTCCATTATCAGCTTATCAGAGACACCACTGTACCACCTTTCCTCTTCCCTAGCTGTTATCGTATTCACCCTAAAACACATCATCATAAAGTTACTGATTCCGCAACTCGCCACCTGTAACGGGTCTTCATCAGAAGGTACACCGTCATCCCCATCCACCTTCCTGTCTCCACCTCAGCAGGAGCCCAGTTCGAGTCTCGTGGTGTCCTTTTATTCACTCACTCGGGTAACCAGTGATGCTGGAGGGACCTAAGCAATGAACGCAACTTGACGAGGGAAGAAATTCTGCAGTCTGGTGTTCACCATGGGACGGCGGTGCTGGATTACTCTTATTGGGGTTGGAATGTGGCTTGGCGGGCTGGTGTATCGACTGATATTTTTGTTTTTGTCTTTTTTTGTTGCATTCTACTCCTTCACTCACTCACTCACTCACACACACACACACTCTCTCTCTACCACATTACCTACAAATACTTGCAAACCCGACAAAGGAAAATAGCCAATCAAGCACACCTTGTCTATCCACTAATCAACTTCACTTCAGCTGACGACAGAACATTGTCACTCTACAAACTACCACATCCATCATCCATCATGACTCCATTTTTGCATCATCACTAATCATAGATGGAGCACATGTAGAGAAAGAGGGAAGAACACACAATGGAAGTTATTAAATGTTATATTCCTTTGGTTGAACAACCATATGCATCGGGCATATACGCCAGGCAAAGCAACACTGGCTTGGCCACAGCACTCTTCACGCCGTGCACAGTTGTCAAACATCAACTCTTTGTCTAGCCATCATCATGAGCCTTTAGCAGTTCCCAATTTACACCCGCGACCCTAATATACAAAGCACGCGCTTAACCAGAGAACTCCTTAATGTCCGTTGTCTTGCCGGGAATCAGAGCCAAGGGCACAATACCCGACACGTGCATCTCGGGGCCGTAAACGTGCATGTTGAGGCCGAGCTCTTGGCCGACGCTCTTGATGTTCTTGAGACCTTCCTGGTAGTTGGGACCAGCACGACGGATCCAGATCTGGACCTTGTGCTCAATGAGGAGAGGAGCGACTTCCCTCAGAGCGCGAATGACACCCTTGAAGGTCGAAGCAACGTTGGTGAAGTTGGCAATACCACCACCAATGAAGAGAACCTTGCCCTCCTCGTGTTGAGGTGCCCTGAGCATGAGGTCAAGGACAGTACGGGCGTAGTGGAAGGTCTGGGTCTCGGTGGGGGCACCAGAGTATTCACCGTAGTTGGCAAGCTCACTAGCGAAGCCAGCAGAGGCGATAGCGTCGGCGTAGACGACGGAGGCACCACCACCAGCAACTAGGGTCCAGACACGGCCAGTGGCGTTGAGAATGGTCAGCTTGAGAGAAGCACCAGTCTTTGCGTCCATCTCGGCAATGTATGCCTCCTCCTTGCTCATCTCACGACCGAAAGGAGCAGGGAACTCCATTGGGGGGCCGACATCGATGGTAGTCTTACCATCCTTTGCGGGAGCAGCAGCTATTCCGAGCGCATTTGCACTACGGGCAATAGCCCACTTAGCACCGCACTCGAACTCAGCAGTTTGGTCGAGCTTGGCAGCAAGATCAAGGAAGTGAACCTCAGCTGATGTCTTTTCCTCGTTGGGGATGACGACGAGGGGGTTAATCTCGAGGTAGCTGCAGCAGTGCATTAGTGGCAAGTAGTAGGCGCCGCAGACAGATAGCTTACGTGAACTGGCAGTCGACGTAGACGGCATATAATCTTGAGATGAAGTCAACGAGGACGTTATGTACACCCTGGGGAACCTTCTTCAGGAGAGTAGCGGCAATCTCCTCATTTGAAGGGTACTCCTTGAGGTCGACGGGGATGAGAAGCTTCTCTGCCTTCTCGTCAACATCGCCAACGTCGACACCGCCTTCGTGGGTGAAGAGGATCCAGTCGCCCTATCAAGTGCAGATGTTAGCGGCTAGATCGGGCTAAGATTGGCAGGATTGGCAAGATCGCGCAGTGGCCCACACAAATGCAGCTGGCAAGAGCCGCAACACCAAGGGCCTGGAATGATAAAACCCGGTAGAGGGGCGTAATACGCTGCAAGCGCCTGGAGAATTGACATGTGAAAGTGGACGTGCGCATCGCAAAGGAGTAGGTGCTTTGCAGAAGTGGGTCGGTGAGTGTTCCCTTCGTCCGGCCCGCCTTCAAACAAAACCAGGCGGTACGCCCGTGTGCTTGAGCCAGCCTACCCGCACCGCACGCTCTTGCGCAGCTTACGCCCAGCACACCCAAACATGTCTTTTCCACACCTGGCACTGTGCCAGGCGGCGTTCTCGCACAAACCGACTTGAAACGACTCGAAGTAAAGAAATGAAGAAAAGAGACGAAGAAAAAAAATTAGAAACACGGTGA